AGCATCTCTTGATCACACTTTCACAGTTTTGGTAACAACTTTTTCCCTTTTTAGTTTTTGATTGTACTTTGATAACAGATGAATGAGGTGATGGTCAGATTTTCCTATTCCATTTTATTGCTTGCCAATGTACGCATTTAAGATGTTTCCACAGCATTCACCTATTGTATTCTGCTTTCTATAGGCATATCAACATATTGATGAATGGGGGGAGAGATTATTTTGAGCTTGCTGCGATGAAAGTCAAAATACAAGATTTAATGCATCGGATTTAATACACCTTTTATTATGTCAGAGCACCCCACCAATGTCTTTACCACACAGAATTCAATACACATTTTCTTGCAATTATTATACACAATCAATCAATAAGGAATGAATATATCAATTGATTGCCAGATTTTGAACAAACCAACAATTGTGGGTAAAATAATAGAATAAGTACACAGCGTGAAACATACAATAATTGCATATTGTTTTTTTTTCTTATGATATTATGCTTATGTTTACTTATTAGTCTTTCTAGTTACAGGTAGTACTAGTAATTGCCACCGCAACCTAAATTATCATTGAGAAAAACAACTAAATGAATAAATAAATAATGTAAAAAAGAAAAAATAGTAGGAATAATTTAGAAATTCTCTGAAGATATGTATAGATTATGTATAAGCATACAATACTATACTATAAAGTCCATGCTTTGTCTATTATCAATAAACCTTCTTGAACAAAAATGGTTGTTTCTTTACCGACCTTTAATGTGCATGGCTTAACGAAACACCGTACAAGAGAACAGATAAATGTAGCCAACATATCCAAATGGTTTAATATAAATAAATTAACCATTAATGCTAACAAAACCAAATTTATGATATTTAGTTCAAAATATAATCTCTCAAAATTTTCAAATATTTCTTTATCAATAAATGGTAACATTATTGATAGAGTTGATAGTTTTAAATACTTAGGAATTACCTTTGATTCTCTTTTTACATGGAATAAGCATATTGAAAATTTTTGTACAAAAATTTCACAACGTATTGGTGTTATTCATAGATTAAGATATTTTTTGCCTAATTTTTCACTTAGACTTATAGCAAATTCTTTAGTATTGCCTAATTTTAATTATTGTAGTCCAGTATGGTCAAATTGCTCAGTTGCACATCTTAATTCACTCCAGGTATTACTAAATAGACTGGCCAGAATTATTTTGTACGCTGATATAAGAACGCCTGTTTATGATCTTATGTAATCACTAAATTGGAAGCTTGTGGACAAACAATGGGAATATAATATTCTTGTAATGACATTTAAATGCTTATCAGGAACTGTTCCAGCATACTTAACACATTTTTACGAATTAATCGATGAATATCATAACATAAATACAAGAAGCAAATCAAAAAACACTTTGATCTCACCAAAATGGCAGAATGATTTTGGAAAAAGAACATTTAAATACCGATCCGTTAATTTATGGAACAATTTATCATCAGATATCCGCAGTAATATTCATTCTATTTAGATGTGTATAAGAGACAGTTGCGAGGCTCCCTTAAACCAATACAATAACATACAGTATTCTGTTTCTCTTTCTTTTTTTTTTACGATGTTTTTTCTATCTATCTTGTAACAATGTAACTCATCTCTCACAAATAAAACAATAATGCAACAATTATGCATATCTGTTTTAAACATTAATTTAAATAATTTATAACATAACCACAGTTAAACATTAATTAACAGAAATATTTTTTAAAAACCATTTTTTTTTTCAAAATGATCAACTGATATTACGTACTGTTATCAATATTACATCTACAAGGTTTTTGACAACATCATTCTGAATATTGTACCAAACCTGTCTCTTATACACATCTTTGAAATTGATTCTGCTGTAAAAATTGGTTTTACAAAAAAATATCCATCAAACACGCTAAGTTTAATGAGCAACTAATCAATCAATGTTAAAGGCAAATTAGAAAAGCTGCAAACAGTATTAATACAGCAGATTAAAGTCGTTAAAATGTTGCAAACATTGATAGCATTGACCAACAATAAAACTTACAACAAAGTCTGCGTGAAAACTAAGAAATTTTATTTGCATATAGTATGTTTTGTAATTCTTTATAAAAGATGTCATTTAGTTTATTTGCTGATGACTCAAGTTGTTTTTATTCAATTAAAATACCCATACACTTACATATATATTTATATTATGTGCTGAAATGTTCGCAATTAGAATTTGGCAGACAATAGATATAAAAGGTACGGTATCACTATAAAAGACAATAGATAAAAATAAGTCAATATGCAGACGATACTTCATTATTATCAGGATTATGAATATAATTCAAATCTACAGCTTTTAGAATTAGGCCTATAAAAGAATTCTCAAAATGTTCTGGACTAGGTATTAATTCCGACAAATGCCGCATTATGTGAATAGGAAATAATAGACATAGTAATATTAGTATGTACATAGTAATATTAGTACAATCTAAATGAAAATTCAGAGTGGCCGCACGGCCACTCAGGAAAGCCTAATGACATGTAACTGTCTATGCGCATATGGAAGACTCGAGCTCTTACTTTGGAACAATTATACTAATAACAAGTTTTTCATTCCAAAATGAATTTACTACCTTTCCATTTTGCTACCTCCACCAGTTTCTGCTTTCAAGAATGTGCAAAATATGTTAATTTAAATTTTAAATACAACAATAATATACAACAATTATGAATGTTGAGCTTGAACATGCTGTACGTCAAAAGTTTTATGGAGGCCCATAAAGTCGCATGGGTCAAACGTTTCCTAGACAAAAATAATAATGCAAGTGGAAATTATTCTTTGTCCCCGAATTTAACAAATATTTCAAAATGTATTTATTTGAATGTAATTTTGACGTTAATTCAATTATATTCCAATAAATTTCCCATGGTTTCTATTGAGATGTGATCATGGCCTGGTCAAAATTCAATTTTTATCAGTCGGCAACGAGTGCACCTTGCTATCTGTATGGTTTTATAGTTTGATACTGATTGATGGCAAATCTATATTTTATTTTAGTTGGTGGAAAACGGGGGTTTAATATATTTATGATTGGACAGCAGGTGTCATTTAATCAATTTCAACAAAAATTTAATATACAAACAAAATTCCTTAGGTACAACGGCAGTGTAAGCGCTATTCCTTAACACTGGATAAAATGTAGTGCATGACCTTGACAATTCACACCTTTCTATCAACGAAAATCATAATTAAATAATTCCAGTTTAATTAAGAAATATGTTTCATTAACAACAGCATCTGTTGATAAATGGGAAACAGAATTTGTAGAGTCATTATACTGATAAACGATTTTTATGTGTCCAATTTAACAGTAATTGCACTCTAGACACATGATTAAAGAATTTTCAGTTTAATTTTATTCATAGACGCATTGCAACAAATAATTTTCTACTTATGATTAAGATAATCGATTCACCAATATGTAATCTATGTAAGGAGCTATCCAAGTTTGTTGCACCTATTCTATGACTACCATAGCGTCTTATTACCTGGAGAGACTTGAATGTTTCAACAGGAAGCATATATATTCCCTATGCTTATAAAAAAAAAGATATTGTTTAGTGTCAATAATAGTACAGTAATTATATTGTTAACAACATGCTACTCTTAGCAAAAATATATTTTAGATGTAAAATATAAACTGATATACCAAACATTAAATAGTTTATTATGTATTAACATATAGAAAAAGGATCAAGTCTATCCTTGCCAGAAATAATAATAAATAATAGCTGCATTTAAAGTAATGGGAAAGGTTGCTTTAATATTCTGCCGAGGAGGTTCACTCTTGTCATAATTGGTAAAATGTTCTTATATTAGGGAAATGATTTTGAGTTTGTGATTTAATTTTTGTATTAATTTCCTTCCATATTAATTCAATTTGCTATGATGACGTTGTGTTGACGAAATTGTGTTTAATGTATATTTTTGAAAATGAAATAACAAAAAAAAAGAAGAAAGAAACATCAGAGTTTGTGATTTAATTTTTGTATAAATTTCCTTCCGTATTAATTCAATTTGCTATGATGTCGCTGTGTTGACGAAATTGTGTTTCAATGTATATTTTTGAAAATGAAATAACAAAAAAAAAGAAGAAAGAAATTGCAAAGTCAATGATTATAACACAAGACAGGCTAAAATACATCATACACTATTTGCTAGACTCATCCCCCCCCCCCCCAACACAAAAAAATATTTTCTTTTACGGTTCCAAACTCTGAAAAGTCCTACCATAAGAAAAATATGATCCTCTCCTTCCATTACTTCCTACAAAGATTATTTTCTACAGCTTACTTGAAATATACAGTACTCGATTTTGATTATTTTCTGATAATTTGATTTTTTATTCATATTCACTTATTAGTATAAAACAAAAGCTCAGAAGGCAACATAGAAATGTTGATTGAAAGGTATCTAAATATACAATACAAATGGATAAAAAATACAAGACATCAAACAGAATAAATTGATGCCTAAACTAAAACATCAACTTTTGACAAGGATAATAAGACATGACTTATATTATAATATACAAGTATATATATATACTAAATATATAATATAATGTATATATTAATATACTAAATATACAAGAAAATACACAATATTAAATTTAAATGCATGTTCATGTATATGTAATATATTATTGAAAATGTGAAAAAAAAATTTTGTATAGTTTACCATTAACATATGGAAGTATTTTAATGGCCAGTTCGACTTTATACGAGTAAAATAGTAAAGTTCATGAATTTTTAAAATAATTTGAAAATTCATTCTGAATTCTTTTGATATAAAATAAGAATATGATTAAACTCATTGCCAAAAATTATTGGTATATTGAAGTGTAAAAGTTTTTTTACTATTAAAGTCATGAATTATTATTGAGACTACGTAACTGAAGTTACTTTTTTTCTTGCATAATTTGTAGCGCAAACCAAATGTGATTTTGAGGATCCATACATCTGTTATTTTATACAAGATGGATATGATGATTTTGATTGGACAAGAACATCTGGATCAACACCCACATCTGGTACTGGCCCTAAGTATGACCACACCTACGGAACATTACAAGGTATTAAAGCTGACATGAATTTAAATTTCCTGAATAAAATTGTAAATTCTTAATGAAAATATTTCTAAAACTACAAACGAAATAAATAAAATAAACTACAAAGAGATATAACAACAAAATCTCTTAAACCAAAACATTCATTTTATCATTTGCCTACAGGTTTCTACATGTACATCAAAACTTCAAATCCGCAATACAACAAGCAAACCGCTCGTCTTTGGACATTGTCATATCCTGCAAAAAACGGCACATGCGTGAAGTGGTTTTACCACATGTACGGGGCCACAGTTAACACATTGAATGTGTACCTAGTCAATACAGAAGGTACTCTTGGTACACCTGCGTGGACAAATAGAAACAATCAAGGAAACATTTGGCGACTTGGAAAACTGTCAGTTGAAACAAAGACTTCCTTCCAGATAGTGTTTGAAGGAATTACAGGAAGTGGTAATACAGGAAATATTGCTTTAGATGACGTCAGCATCATCGATGGGGCATGTTTGAGAAACGGTAAAATACACTTTAATAAATATTATTTTCGTCACTATCCCTTTCGTCTCTGCTTTCACCACATACGCCCTATACTAACAGTCTGTGAAAAATAATGGGGGTAACTTAAATAAGTAATTTTAATATATATCCCCCACGGACTTTCTTTCAAATGACTGAAACACGCACACAGAGTGCAGCTGTAGAAAAGCTAGGAAAGCTTTTAGTCTAAACTTTAAAATTAAGGGGAAACATTGCTGTAAAAATGGCATTCCTCACACTCAAAGATCATAAATATCACCAGCAAAGCATGTGAACTCATCCAATACTGCAGATAAACAACAAACCTCTAAAAGTGAACTCATCCAATACTGCAGATAAACAACAAACTTCTAAAAGTAACTAGGTTTAGTGCGATAAACTCATACACAAAAAACATCACTACGTCATATTATAAAAGAAGAGAAAATAAGTCAGCACCCACAAAATTAACAACGCAACCAAATCAATTGTTACAAAGCTTGAAATTGGAACCAAATACAAACCTGCATTGATGACGAAAGCTTTCATAACATTCAAAGACCATTACGAAAACTTTTTACATAAACCAAACTGTGGACTCTTAAACCCATCAAAAATCATAGGCAAGACCGAATAAACGATGACCGGCTCACAAAAACACAATAAACAAATAGAAAAACACCATTTCTGTCACTGAATGATTTAAACCCATCCAGCACAAACCAAAAAGTCCATCTCTTTTCAAATTTGTGGAACTCTAATTGTGTTTCAATGTATATTTTTGAAAATGAAATAACAAAAAAAAAAAGAAGAAAGAAACAGCAAAGCAAAGTCAATGATTATAACACAAGACAGGCTAAAATACATCATACACTATTTGCTAGACTCATCCCCCCCCCCCCAACACAAAAAAATATTTTCTTTTACAGTTCCAAACTCTGAAAAGTCCTACTATAAGAAAAATATGATCCTCTCCTTCCATTACTTCCTACAAAGATTATTTTCTACAGCTTACTTGAAATATACAGTACTCGATTTTGATTATTTTCTGATAATTTGATTTTATATTCATATTCACTTATTAGTATAAAACAAAAGCTCAGAAGGCAACATAGAAATGTTGATTGAAAGGTATCTAAATATACAATACAAATGGATAAAATATACAAGACATCAAACAGAATAAATTGATGCCTAAACTAAAACATCAACTTTTGACAAGGATAATAAGACATGAATTACAATATACTAAATATACAAGAAAATACATAATATTAAATTTATTACTGGGACGTCAATTCAATCATCATACAATTATCATTAAAATTTTAAGAGTGTAACCTGCATCGTGAGCATCTTTCCCCATAGGGCCAACATGTACGAAGTATATTTACTTTGTTTTTGGCTCTCCACCTGGCTTTTCCTATTTTCTGTTTTGTTTATTAGTATAGATATTTCTTTGCTGAAATTATTAAAGTTTAAAAGTTAATATCAATGTTATTATTATTACCCGCGATAGTGTTACTCCCACTGAACAGTTCATTATACCAGTGAACCAGTTGGAAATGTAGCTAACAAATGAAAAAACTAATAATTGTGCAGTTGGTCTAGATAGAAACTAATCAATTACCAAACATATTTTGAAAGGCATCAATATACTAAATGCATTGGTGAAGCAGTAATAGCTCCACTTTAGAAAACATTACACTAACAATTTTAAGTAATTCACATCCCAAATATTATCCTTAGTAGCATCAAATAAGATAGAAAACAAGTAAAGCTTGTAGAGGAGTTGGAACACATTTATCAAATCTCACTAATACAAAATGTTTTAAGTATACCATTATCTAGAATTAAAAAACCTAAAAGGTGTTAAAAAACTTATACAACTTGCCGTATTAAGTGTTGTTGGACCCAGAATTAAAAAATTACACTTATAATGTTATAAAGAAACAAATAATGTAATATATTATTGAAAATGTGAAAAAAAAATGTTGTATAGTTTACCATTAACATATGGAAGTATTTTAATGGCCAGTTCGACTTTATACGAGTAAAATAGTAAAGTTCATGAATTTTTTAAATAATTTGAAAATTCATTCTGAATTCTTTCGATATAAAATAAGAATATGATTAAACTCATTGCCAAAAATTATTGGTATATTGAAGTGTAAAAGTTTTTTTTACTATTAAAGTCATGAATTATTATTGAGACTACGTACTGCAGTTACTTTTTTTCTTGTATAATTTGTAGCGCGAGCCAAATGTGATTTTGAGGATCCATACATCTGTTATTTTATACAAGATGAATATGATGATTTTGATTGGACAAAAACATCTGGATCAACACCCACATCTAGTACTGGCCCTAAACTGTTTTAACAAGTGCAATTACAATCAGTTAATTAATTTTGTCTTGGGATTTGTGTTTTAGCACAATACCAATGTGATTTCGAAGATCCACATCTGTTACTTTGAACAAGATAAATATGATGATTTTGATTGGAGAAGATCTGGATCAACATACACATTAAAGTACTGGCCCTACATATGACCTGTACAGCGATAATTTATGTGCATTACGTATTGAGCTAAATATAATAATAATAATAAACCTAATGTGCAGAACATGGTTAAAATTGTATACAACATGATCAGTTTCTGAAAAGATTGTAAATATTATGCATAAATGTAGGCTAATAGAATGAATATTAAAAAATTAATGTCAACATCAGTACTAAGTTTCAGTTTGCAACTGAGATAATGTATATATCTCTTCTACATCTATTATTTATTTTACTATAATGATCTCAGAAAAGTTCAAGACTTAACTGATGCTAACTGGAGCACAGTACATAAACACAGATCTCCAGTTACCGGTGATGGTATAACCCCATACTTAGGTTTGGGTGCTTCTAGGTGTTTATTGATTTTTTTTTTGTCTTTTTTTATTGTTTCTTTTCTACAAAATTGTCGGGCGCATAGAGACCTCATTTATTTGCGCTATAAATATTATTATTATTATTACTATTACTATTATTATTATTATTACTATTACTATTATTATTATTATTCGAAAATAGCTCATCTGTGTTGGTGTTTGAATGTAATAAAAGTTTAAACTTTTGATCACAACACAAACAAATTTCACTGTAAGGAAATTTTTTTGTGTTGTGATCAAATGTTTAAACTTTTATTACATTATTATTATTATTATTATTATTATTAAACGAAAAATAGTATAGAGACAACATTTGAAAAGGGGATTTATTATCTAACCATTTTAACTTTACATAAGTAATTCAATGACTTTGGCTATGTGCTGTAAAAAAATGGAAAAATAATAATATTATTGATGTAGTCAGAAAAGAAGGTATTTAAAGTAAAATTGAATTAAAAATAAAATGTAATTGAAATTGTAAATCCTTTAGGTATTTAAGTGTCATCTTTAGTTCAAACGAGAAATTGCATGAACCAATAATACAATTTTTAAGAAGCTAGTTAAGTGATGTAAAATCTATAGTATTAAAACAAAAATTAACATTATGAAACAATGTGTTGTGGATACCGGTTTGACTTTATGTGACTAAAATTAGGAATGTGTTTTTTTTTTTATTATTGAAATTCTTGAAAATTTATGATAAGATGTTTTCCTAACAAAGTTACGAATTATTGTACTTTGGTTTCCAGTAACTGTTTTAACAAATGCAATTACAATCAGTTAATTAATTTTGTCTTGGGATTTGTGTTTCAGCACAATACCAATGTGATTTTGAGGATCCATACATCTGTAACTTTGTACAAGATGAAGATGATGATTTTGATTGGATAAGAACATCTGGATCAACACCCAAATCTGGTACTGCCCCTCCATATGACCACACCTACGAAACATTACAAGGTATTAAATGCTGACATGAATTTAAATTTCCTAAATGAAATTGTAAATTCTTAATGAAAATATTTCTAAAACTAAAAACGAAAGAAATAAAATAAACTACAAAGAGATATAACAACAATGTCTCTTAAACCAAAACATTTATTTTATCATTTGCCTACAGGTTTCTACATGTACTTAGAAACTCTTTATGTGCATTACAACAACCAAACCGCTCGTCTTTGGACATTGTCATATCCTGCAACAAATGGCACATGCGTTAAGTGGTTTTACCACATGTACGGGGCCACAGGAAACACATTGAATGTGTACATAGTCAATACAACAGGTACCGTTGGTGCACCTGCGTGGGCAAATAGAAACGATCAAGGAAACATTTGGCGACTTGGAAAACTGTCAGTTGAAACCAAGAGTGCCTTCCAGATAGTGTTTGAAGGAATTATAGGAAGTGGCTATAAAGGTGATATTGCTTTAGATGACGTCGGGATCATCGATGGGGCATGTTTGAGAAACGGTAAGATACACTTTCATAACTATTACGCCCTATAATAACAGTCTGTGAAAATAGGGGGTAACTTAAATAAGTAATTTTAATATATATCCCCACAGACTTTCTTACAAATGACTGAAACACTCACACAGAGTGCAGCTGTAGAAAAGCTAGGAAAGCTTATAGTCTCAACTTTAAAATTAAGGGGAAACATTGCTGTAAAAATGGCTTTCCTCACACTCAAAGATCATAAATATCACCAGCAAAGCATATGAACTCATCCAATACTGCAGATAAATTTCAAACTTCTAAAAAGTAACTAGGTGTAGTGCGATTAACTCATACACAAAAACATCACTACATCATATCATAAAAGAAGAGAAAAGAAGGCAGCACCCACAAAATTAACAATGCAACCAAATCAATTATTACAAAGCTTGAAATTGGAACCAAATAGAAACCTGCATTGATGACGAAAGCTTTCATAAACATTCAAAGACCATAACGAAAACTTTTTACATAAACCAAACTGTAGACTCTTAAACCCATCAAAAATCATAGGCAAGACCGAATAAACCATGACCGGCTCACAAAAACACAATAAACAAATGGAAAAACACCATTTCTGTCACTGAATGATTTAAACCCATCTAGCACAAACCAAAAAGTCCATCTCTTTTCAAATTTGTGGAACTCTAATTATCTATCACAAATATTGTTAACGGACGATATCTAGTAGGCATGAAAGTACACCGGAATCTCTGAAGACAAAGCAGATATTATTTACTCAACATTGACTTAGAAAAATTCAAACGACATGTTTAACATTACTGTAGGATGTTACGGTGGGGATAAAATATGTTAATATGTCGGATCCTTTTTTCTCTAATTACTTACCCTAAAACTTGGAAAAACCAATATCTGTTTTTGAATAATTGCACTTATCATTTCGGAGTCTCTACCCTACTTAGACGTTGATCCTTGTAGGATGGTATGGCATAATATAAATGTATGGGTCGTGTGCGTTCAAGCAGCATTGACAGGGATACTCTCCAGGGAGCAGAAAAGTTGCACAATGTGCGGATGTGCTTATTCAGTATCCAGTAACCAGGGAAATAAAGATGCCAGCGCCTTGTATAATTGCATTTTAAAATCTGCAGAATTTTTTTTTATACATAAGTCAAAGTTTCTTGCAGTACTTTCATGTCTGTATGTATGTATAACCGAGGCAACAGCGTCAATTGCATCAATTTCATTGATAATTCTGATCACTATGTATTTTATATATATATATATATATATATCAAAGCCTTCATATGCAAATATGCAACAATTCACTATGAATAAAGTATCTAATTATATATGCTATATAGATTATATATGCTATATAAATATTTCTACGTATGTACATTATATTATGTTCGTTGATTTCTGAATTGTATTTAATAGTCATCATATCATGCATTATATAATTTAAACATATAATTTTAGAACTACTATAATATTCCTACATCAATTTTCCATTCCACAATTGTTTAAATTATATAGGACCTTATATAAATCTCACTGTATTTTATTTCTTCTTTAATTATTGTATACTGTTTTTTAGTCACTAGCAATTAAGTCTTAGTATTAAAGCTGGCTCAAAAGCACCACCAATAATCTATCGCTTACATAATCAATGTATATCAATCAATGTATATATATATATAAAGACAAATGCGATTTTCATAACAATAATAATTTTTATACAATTAGTATTGTGATGAGCGATGAGCTTATTTTATTACGAACAGAGTATGTCACTAATTAATATTCAATTTCTAATTGAAGAAACTTGCGATATTGACTGCTTGAACGGCGGAGTCTGTGTCTCGGATGACGGAATCGAGAACTGTCAGTGTATGCCTGGTTTTCTTGGACCAACTTGCAATATATGTAGGTTTTTACAGCGATAATTAATGTGCATTACGTATTGAACTAAATATAATAATAATAAACCTAATGTGTAGAACATGGTAATAAAATTGTATACAACATGTTCAGTTTCTGAAAAGATTGTAAATATTATGCATAAATGTAGGCTAATAGAATGAATATTAAAAAATTAATGTCAACATCAGTACTAAGTTTCAGTTTGCAACTGAGATAATGTATATAAATGTATATATCTCTTCTACATCTATTATTTATTTTACTATAATGATCTCAGAAAAGATCAAGACTTAACTGATGCTAACTGGAGCACAGTACATAAACACAGATCTCCAGTTGCTGGTGATGGTATAACCCCATACTTAGGTTTGGGTGCTTCTAGGTGTTTATTGATTTTTTTTTTTGTCTTTTTTTATTGTTTCTTTTCTACAAAATTGTCGGGCGCATAGAGACCTCGTTTATTTGCGTTATAAATATTATTATTATTATTATTACTATTATTATTATTATTATTATTACTATTACTATTATTATTATTATTATTACTATTACTATTATTATTATTATTATTATTCGAAAAATAGCTCATCTGTGTTGGTGTTCGAATGTAATAAAAGTCTAAACTTTTGATCACAAACAAATTTCACGGAAAGGAAATTTGTGTTGTGATCGACAGTTTAAACTTTTATTACATTATTATTATTAATATTATTAATATTAATATTATTATTTTTATTTTTATTATTAAACGAAAAATAGTATGAGACAACATTCGGAAAGGGAATTTATTAGCTAACCATTTTAAGGTATTTGAATGTTGCCTTTAGTTCAAACAAGAAATTTCAATAACCAGTAATACAATTTTAAGAAGCTAATTAAGTAATGTAAAATTTAAAGTTTTAAAACAAAAATGTTTTTGGTAATTTTTATATCATTAACATTATGAAACAATATGTTGTGGATACCGGTTTGACTTTATGTGAGTAAAATTTGGAATGTGTTTGTTTTTTATTATTGAAATTTTTGGAAATTTATGATGTTTTCCTAACAAAGTTATGAATTATTGTACTTTGGTTTCCAGTAACTGTTTTAACAAATGCAATTACAATCAGTTAATTAATTTTGTCTTGGGATTTGTGTTTTAGCACAATACCAATGTGATTTCGAAGATCCACACATCTGTTACTTTGAACAAGATAAATATGATGATTTTGATTGGATAAGAACATCTGGATCAACATACACATTAAGTACTGGCCCTACATATGACCACACCTACGGAACATTACAAGGTATTAAAAAGCTGACATGAATTTAAATTTCCTAAATGAAATTGTAAATTCTTAATTGAAATATTTCTAAAAATACAAACGAAAGAAATAAGATAAACTACAAAGAGATAGAACAACAATATCTCTTAAACTAAAACATTTATTTTATCATTTGCCTACAGGTTCCTACATGTACATCGAAACTTCATATCAGCGATACAACCAAACCGCTCGTCTTCGGACATTGTCATATCCTGCAACAAACGGCACATGCATCAAGTGGTTTTACCACATGTACGGGGCCACAGTGAACACATTGAATGTGTACATAGTCAATACAGAAGGTACCGTTGGTGCACCTGCGTGGACAAATAGAGACGATCAAGGAAACATTTGGCGACTTGGAAAACTGTCAGTTAAAACAAAGAGTGCCTTCCAGATAGTGTTTGAAGGAATTGTAGGAAGTGGTGATACAGGTGATATTGCTTTAGATGACGTCAGGATCATCGATGGGGCATGTTTGAGAAACGGTAAAATACACTTTAATAAATATTATTTTTGCCACTAGCCCTTTCGTCTCTCTGCTTTCACCACCTACACCCTATAATAACAGTCTGTGAAAAATAAGGGGGTAACTTAAATAAGTAATTTTAATATATATCCCCCATGGACTTTCTTACAAATGACTGAAACGCTCACACAGAGTGCAGCTGTAGAAAAGCTAGAAAAGCTTATAGTCTCAACTTTAAAATTAAGGGGAAACATTGCTGTAAAAATGGCTTTCCTCACACTCAAAGATCATAAATATCACCAGCAAAGCATGTAAACTCATCCAATATTGCAGATAAACAACAAACTTCTAAAAAGTATAGTGTAGTGTGATAAACTCATACACAAAAACATCACTACGTCATATCATAAAAGAAGAGAAAAGAAGGCAGCACCCACAAAATTAACAACGCAACCAAATCAATTGTTACAAAGCTTGAAATTTGAACCAAATAGAAACCTGCATTGATGACGAAAGCTTTCATAACATTCAAAGACCATAACGAAAACTTTCTTCATAAACCAAACTGTAGACTCTTAAACCCATCAAAAATCATAGGCAAGACCGAATAAACCATGACCGGCTCACAAAAACACAAATAAACAAATGGAAAAACACCATTTCTGTCACTGAATGATTTAAACCCATCCAGCACAAACCATAAAGTCCACCTCTTTTAAATTTGTGGAACTCTAATTATCTATCACAAATATTGTTAACAGACGATATCTAGTACGCACGAAAGCACACCGGAATCTCTGAAGACAAAGCAGATATTATTTACTCAACGTGGACTAAGAAAAATTCAGACAACATATTTAACATTGCTGTGGGAAGTTACGGCGGGGATAAAAAATGTTAATATGTCGGATCGTTTGTTCTCTAATTACTTACCCTAAAACTTGGAAAAACTAATATCTGTTCTGTTGAATAATTGCACTTATCATTTCGGAGTCTATAACCTACTTAGGCGTTGAACTTTCTAGTACAATAATAATTTTATACAATTAGTATTGTGATGAGCAATGAGGTTATTTTAATACGAACAGAGTATGTCACTAATTAATATTTGATTTCTAATTGAAGAAACTTGCGATATTGACTGCTTGAACGGCGGAGTCTGTGTCTCGGATTACAGAATCGAAAACTGTCAGTGTATGTCTGGTTTTGTTGGACCAACTTGCAGTATATGTAAGTTTTTACTGCGATAAATAATGTGCATTATGTATTGAGCTAAATATAATAATAAACATAGTGTGGAGAACATGGTTAAAAATGTATACATGATGAGTTTCTGAAAAGATTGTAAATAATACGCATAAATCTAAACTAAGAGAATGAATACTAAGTTTCAGTTTGCAACTGAGATAATGTATGTATCTCTTCTTCATCTATTACTTATTTTACTAATGATCCCAGAAAGGATCAAGTGTTAACTGATGCTAACTGGAGCACAGTACATAAACACAGATCTCCAGTTGCCGGTGATGGTATAACCCCATACTTCAGTTTGGGTGCTTCTAGGTGTTTATTGATTTTTTTTTTTTTTTGTCTTTTTTTTAATTATTTCTTGTCTACAATGTTGTCAGGCACATAGAGACCTTGTTTATTTGTGCTTTTAAAGTAAAATGGAATTAAAATTAAATGTAATTGCAATTTTAAATCTTTGTATTTAGGTGTCGTCTTTAGTTCAAACAAATTGCATGAACCAATAATAGTTTTTAAGAAGCTAAATAAGTAATTTAAAATTTAAAGTTTCAAAACAAAAATGTTTTTGGTAATATACAATTAACAGTATGGAACAGTGACTTGTGACTCGAAGTGAAATTTGGAATGTGTTTTTTTTAATCATTATTATTGAAATTCTTGCAAATTTACGATAAGGTGTTTTCCTAACAAAGTTACGAATTATTGTACTTTTGTTTCCAGTAACTGTTTTAACAAATGCAATTACAATCAGTTAACTAGATTTGAACTCGTCACTGAGGACGAGTTAGGTGATCCGCCGCACTTTGACCAACGAAGGAAGTGTGCGCGGTGCGGATTATACAACATTTAAATGCTGATAATGGCAAAATACGCTAATTTAGTTTGTTAAAAAAGAATTTTGAGCATTTTAAAAGATTTACTCATGCGTACGCGCACGTCATGACGCACGTGCGCATCTTAATGTCACTGTTGTCTACTGATATGAGATATATATGTATCAACTTTCATTGACAAACGCCTGTTGGTGAAGGAGTAATGATCATTCATAGTCTTTATCATATATAAAAATTCAGTTTTTTTTACTTCAGATGGAAATATGTTGACGTCACAATGTCCGATCAGCTATTATGATATATAAAATCATATCTACAACTCATGTGCTTTTAGAATATGTAATAAAAATTGGGGGTCACCTTTCATCCTAGCTAAATTTGATTATAAATAGGCATAATTATAAGTAATTTTTGACGCACGCGTACGCGCACGTTAAGACGCGCAAACTAAAAAGTAAGATATCTAACATTACACCTTGACCTGAAGTATAAGCCCATTTAATATTATTCAGAAATTACGAATGGTTAAGATGATATGACGTCATCAACGTTTTGAGAAAAGAAATAAATTTAAAAAAAATTCAGACGGCAATATGATGACGTCACAATGTTCGATCAGCTATCTAATCGTCATCAAAATCTAAAAAAATGCCACATATATGAAAGAGAATTGCCTCAGCTACAACATACACAAAGTTGGAAGACAATCTATCAAGAATAAGCAAGATACGCTCAAATGCGCATTTGTTAAAATGACGTCATCGATAATATTCAGTTTGTTGAGTTCAGATGGCAAGATGATGACGTCATAATGTCCGATCAGCCATTATGACCTATAAAATCATATTTACAACTCATGTGCTTTCAGAATATGTAATAAAAATTGGGGGTCACCTTTCATCCTAAAGAGCTGTAACTGTTCAAAATTAGGCCTGATTTTAGCAAAATTTCACTGTATATCAGCACAAATGTGCACAAAGGTCACTATTTTTTATGCGTGCGTACGGCACTGTTATTGCCATAGAGTGATTGGAAAAATTGGAAACTTGTCAAAACAATGTCAGGAACCCAAAATGTGACAAAAAAATTAATTTCTAGCTTCCATACGTGCTGCGCGCGTGAAAATGTGCACGCGTAGTGGTAAATTTCAAAAAATTTTGAAATGCTCAAAATGGCCTGAAACGTGCTCTAATTTAATCTAAATGTGATTTCGAGCATTTTAAAATTTGACGCGCACACGTAAAATTAGGTTACATTACATTTAACATTGACGATTTCGAAATGGCAATTGGTTAGGCTGATATGATCGATAATGTAAAAACGCAAAATTGCTTGTAGATGACGTCACGCATAACTGCGCACTCTGAAAACCTTATAGTGACTATTCCAGGCAAAGCTAAATGTTTTTTGAAGCGTGCATGTATGAATCCCGTGCCAATTTTTAGATATCGTGCTAACAAGAAATGGGGAGAAGCTAGAATAAAAAAAGAAAAAAGATCTCTGACAATAACAAGAGGTGATCCGCTAGCGGAGCGGATCACCAATTAATTTGGTCTTGGGATTTGTGTTTCAGCACAATACCAATGTGATTTTGAGGATCCATACATCTGTTACTTTGTACAAGATGAAGACGATGATATTGATTGGATAAGAACATCTGGATCAACACTCAAATCTGGTACTAGCCCTCAATATGACCACACCTACGAAACATCACAAGGTACTAAAAAGCTGGCATGAATTTAAATTTCCTAAATGAAATTGTAAATTCTTAATTAAAATATTTCTAAAACTACAAACGAAATAAATAAAATAAACTACAAAGAGATATAACAACAATATCTCTTGAACCAAAACATTTAACGTATTTTATCATTTGCCAACAGGTTCCTACATATACATCCGTACTTTTTACTTCAACCAAACCGCTCGTTTTTGGACATTGTCATATCCTGCAACAAACGGCACATGCGTCAAGTGGTTTTACCACATGTACGGGGAAACAATGAATATATTGAATGTGTACATAGTCAATACAGAAAGTACTGTTGACACAATTGCATGGACAAGTAGAAACAACCCAGTGAACCTCTGGCGACTTGGACAAATTTCAGTTGAAATAAACAGTACCTTCAAGATGATGTTTGAAGGCATTGTAGGAGGTAGTTCTGTTGGTCATATTGCTTTAGATGACATCACGATCACCGATGGAATATGTTTCACAAAAGGTAAATTCATCTGCACCTTACAACAACACTACAATAACTAGATTTGAACTCGTCACTGAGGACGAGTTAGGTGATCCGCCGCACTTTGACCCACGAGGAAGTGTGCGCGAACAATAATTAAATGCTGATAATGGCAAAATACTCTAACTTAGTTTGTTAAAAAAGAATTTTGAGCATTTTAAAAGAATTTTTCATGCGTACGCGCACGTCATGACTCGCGTGCGCATCTTAATGTCACTGTTGTCTCCTGATATGAGATATAGGGTCAAGGGTAAAAAATGCATTTTTGCAGTCAATTTATTATTTATTTATATATAGATTTTTTTAAATTTAAACCATCTTTATAGAGGGTTACCCTTCTAGCTAGGCTTCAGTGTCGCATTAGAGAGAATACCAACGCATGGATCTTCTGAGTATTTTGATCATAATGATGATAGATTCATCAACAGAGATTGGTTATACAGGCCAACAAAACATCTGCCTTATTTTAGGGAGTGGTCTACATGGGCACTCTTTTCTATAATTTCCTGAGCCTCATTCAAGTCGATAATTATGATCTTTCAAATTAATAACTTAAGATTGTGTTTCACCCTTAAATTATTATTTGGTTGAGTCACACTATCTGGGATGTCCAAATTATCACATATATTTTACATATGACAGACTTAGGAATGGTTTTGAAACATTCTTTTGCAGAGATTGATAGATTTCCACATTTGACGTACGAAAACAGGTCAATACGAAATATTTCCTATGGAGAATATTTTTCTGGCACGGCGCGATGATCAGCCTCTTGCACTTTATAACATTTAGTCTTGGAACTGCATGTATAAAGTCGGCATGCCTTAGAATAATAATATTCCGACGTTCATCATTTTTATTTAATTGGTATAACTCCAAAGTTTTCAACGTTTATTCATACAGGGGAAAGTCTAGTTGTTTCTGAGTCAAATCTGGTGTCCATCAAGACTCATTAGCCGTCACACTACACTGAGTTCGGTCATGAATATTTATTATCAACATAAAATTCTTGGCAAGTGCGGTGCCAGTGTAGTCGTGGCGGCGCCGCAGGGGGCTTAAGGTTCCCCCCCCCCCTTCAGCCAAAGCTTGTTGGGCAGTCGGACCAAAAAAAAAATAGATCTAGTTTTTCCTATCCCAGCAATTTCCAGCCATCTAGAAGTCCTAATTTTTTTTTTTTTTAATCTCGTTTTGGGAGGACAGGATAACCACACCCACTCCCGTCTCCGGCCTCAGGCCCTCAGATAACGCTGCACGCTATAGTTACACCCATAAATACATAGCCCACCCTCACCCCCACCCCATAAATGATATCCTAGACCGTAGGGTAAATTGCAAGGTATGCTATGTATTGGCATATAATGTGCGAGGGTTACGCACTCCCCTCCCCCTGAAAAAAAAATACTAGCTTATCCACTGCCCACACATCAGTAGTTAAAATTCACCTCAAATCACATTATTTTGCAAGTTATCCCCCTCACCGTAATGCATCACTTTTAAATTTTAAAAATGCATTACATAGTTCTTCATCAGTTTGTGGTCACAAATTATCGCTTGAGGATCTACATCTTCAATAAATTCTAACTTTTGATGTTGCTTGTGCTTGTTGTTGTTTAAGCATATGGTTTGTAGAACCCGGCCATGTAAGAAATGAGACATGAAATATAAGGTGTTTTTAATTGTTTGTAAAATTTTTTATTTAAAATGCTCTGTTGCATTCTTCACCATCAGTGTTGTTTAAGCCTGCACTTTTCATTTTAAGAGAATACACTTTGTGTCCCTTCCCACCCATAACCCATGACCAAATGCGTTATGTTCTGGGTTTGCTTCTAAAATGCATGGAATCTTACGAAACCCCGGGTAAATTCGGCTGGACATCGGCACCCGTTTGTATTAGGTTGTAATATGGATAATTAGAAATACGAGAGTATAATACCATTAATTTAAAAAAAAATGTCGTTCAAATTTAATACAAAGTCACATTATAGTGGTTTTTTTCTGAAAGCTGTATACTGTTCAGTCACTTTGTCAACTTTCTTGTTTAAAATTTCCACAATAGCAGTCTAATTATTATAACATCAGTAAAGTCACATGTAAAATAACTATGTATTACAACAACATTTTAAAACAAGTGCTTGTTTACATTACTTTTTCAAATAAATTTGTCATTTACAGGTGACGTTAATGCATCATCACCAGGTAACGTTAATGCATCATCACCAGGTAACGTTAATGCATCATCATCAGTACCTGACTACCTGATAGCTGTGTATATTCTCTGTGTCTTCATTTTCATGATGTCACCGTTATTTATCTTCCTCTGCAGGTAGACCCTACTCTATAATAGTAATAATAATAATAATAATAAAAATATTAATAATAATAATAATAATAATAAAATAATAATAAAATAATAATGATAATAATAATAATAATAATAATAATAATAATAATAATAATAAAATTTAATGGTTACAATATGCTTTATTAAATGATTAGTTTATATTCTAATCTGCCAGTATCCTGCTCACAAGAACAATATACATTTATTGGTATTTGTTTGGAGTATGTTATAGATGTATAAACCTTACCTTTTTTAATAAATTTATATCTTGAGAGTTGCCCATGATCACTGGCACCTTTCGGGGTAGTACACTGTGAGGGGTGTCTGATGGTGCACGGCATTATTACTGTTGCATGATGCTCATTGGGGCATTTTCCCTTCCGTTAGGTGCTGGGGGTTCTGGGCGACCTGGTATTCTGTGCTTGTATGTTTTGTATATTTGGTGTTTTGTATACCTTTGATGCCTATGTTAACAATATGTAATATGTAAATTGTTGTGAAAATTCTGAATAAATGTAATATATTTACTCATGTAATAATGCACATAATACCATAATTCATGACAAAAACTTATGCATGAAGGATGCACTAGAAGTAAAAAAAAAAGAAAGACATAGGAAACTGTGACTATTGAAGTATTATTGAGAAGGAGATCACTCGGCAACAATTCCCTTTGACACGACAAACCGATGTGTTCCTCGCCTTTGGATCGTGCGCGGGCATATTACCTTATGAACATTTTTTCTTTTGCAACAGCTTGGCAATGACATGGCTTAATACGCTTCAACATAGCAGTTGTGCGATAAACCATTTGATTTTAACTCATTAAACTCATCTTTAAAATTAACAATGTTCCTCTGAATTGATTTTTTCGGACTTTTAGTGTGTTATTATGTGCATATATTTGACTAACAGATTTCACAAAACATTTCTGTTGTAATTACTTCTGTGTTCATTATAATTATTTTTGTCTAAAAATTGACTGGTTTGACTAAAATGCTTAGGCAGCGTGAAAATGAAAAATACTCTGATTTTGGAATGGTTTTTCGAGTAGTTAACTCTATTATAATCCTCAATTATTTATTAATAAATATCCGTTAGAATTAGCGAATTTTGTCCAATTTATGAAAATTGAAGTTGAAATATACTATACTTTTAAAGGTCATGTAAATGTTACATTCAATTTGAAACTTTTTTGGTTGAAAATATTAATATGTTTTATATTTTATGAGAGATAAATGTATCAGCTTCAAAATGGAAACGATTGCGCAGCCATAGTGATTGAATGTATGTAGTGCGCATCGAGAAAAGAAGGTGCTCTCCATTTCGCCATGTTCAGTTTTTTGGTAAAAAATATGCCTGCTGAAATTTGATGGCGGGGAAGACATCAGACTTCCAAGCCATCGCGCAAACATTCTTCACGCGCTGCGGCAGCTTTTATCTTGGTTCATTTGCATAGTGCTGCGTGCATGTAGATTTTTCAAGTGAATCTCTTTCTCAATAATACCTCCATGCTGTGACTAACTTTAGATAATATTTATTCACGAGATTTTGCTGGTAATGCATTTTAACTTCATTGGGCGACACACCTTTATTGTAAAAAAAATTACTCTGAGTTTCACGCTTTATGGCGTCTGCACGCTAAAATGCGCGAACGGAAAATTAAGGTACATAACATTCAACATTGACCTGAAGCTTATGCTCACCTAATATGATTTAGAAATGACGAATGGTTAAGATTATATGGGCTCATCAACGTTTTGAAGAAAGAGAAATGAGGGGGTCAGAAAAACAATTTTTTGACCATGATGACGTCATCAAAATGTAAAAAGAAGTCAAATATATGAAAGAGAATTGTCTCGGCTATAACATACTCAAAGTTGAAAGACGATCGATCAAGGATAAGCGAGATACGCTCAAATGCGTATTTTCAAATATGACGTCATAGCTATAAGTCACTTTCTTTGAATTCAGATGCCAATATGATGACGTCACAATATCCGATCAGCCATTATGATCTATAAAATCATATCTACAACTCATGTGCTTTCAGAATATGTAATAAAAATTGGGGGTCACCTTTCAACCTAAGGAGATATAACTGATTAAAAATAGGCCTGATTTTAGCATAATTTTCACTGTATAGCGGCACAAATACGCGCAAAGATACCTATGTTTGATGTGCACGTACGGTATTGCTATTGGCCAAAAGATGACCGAAAGGAATGGAAATTTGTGAAAACATTGTCAGGAACAAAAACTATGTGAAAAAACATAATGTCTAGCTTCCGTAAGTGCTGCGCGCGTAAAAATGCGCACGCGTAGTGGAAAATTTTAAAAAATTTCGAAATGCTCAAAATGGCCTAAAACGTGCTCTAATTTAGTCAAAAAGTGATTTTGAGCATTTTGAAATTTTGACGCGCGCGTAATGAAGCGCACGCGTCAAATTAGGGTACAGTACATTCAACATTAACCCGAAGTTAATGCTCACTTAATACGATTTCAAAATGGCAATTGGTTAGGCTGATATTATCGATAATGTAAAAACACAAAATTGCGCGTAGATGACGTCACGCATGACTGAGCGCGTTGAAAAGCTTACCATGACTATTCCAAACCAAGCCAAATGTTCGCTGACGGCAATTGTGCGTAACTCGTGGCATTTTTTGAGATATCGTGCGAACAGAAAAGGGGAGAAAGAAAGAAGAATAAAAAAAAGATGAAGATGATGATCCTGACAATAACAATAGGTGATCCGCACTAGATGCGGATCACCAAAAAAAGATGAAGATGATGATGATGATCCTGACAATAACAATAGGTGATCCGCTAACGTTAGCGGATCACCAATAATAATAAAACATTACTGTTGGATTACTGCATTTGTATTTCTATTGTATATTAAGATTAGTATTTCTATTATATATTGAGATTATGTATGAATTGCAAATATTTATATACATTTTATATTTATGTCATTTATCATGTTAATATAAAGCAAATTCTGTAAGTTAATATAATTAAGTATCATATTACGTTGTATTTAAAAAGCTTCTATCAACTACATTGAATTGCACACCAAAAGCTCAAATGTCCTTGGTATTACATAACCGTGTCCATTCTCAGGGCTTTAAGAAACAAATTTGTTTGCCAGAAAGAATACTTGTATACATGACGCCGCAAAGGCCTATTCAATGGTAAACTGCTGATGTGCTCCAACCCCAGCCCCAAAAAACTTTAACAGATAATAGTAAACCCAGTGATTGCTATATAACTGCTATTAGAAGCTGTAGGTAGTGGCCTGAATAGGCCAATCCTAACATTAAAAATAACCTCTCAAATAATAATGAAATTGAAATGTATGTAGCAGTGTCATGAAAATATCCAATATGAGTAACTATAGCAGTGAACATCAAATGCATACCAGTTATATAGGAGAATTAATAAAATATAAAAATATGCAAAAGTGCAGAGCTATTATTTAAAATGCTTGAAATATAGAAACAAAAGCCGCGCTACAAAACTACAGTATATCAAAGAAAGTTTAGCCATGTAGGTATGTTTAGATGACTCAAGGATAGTGAGTCTGACTAAGTAATTGTCTTCAGACCTAAAGTTTCTATTTTACTTTTCAATACCAATCACTAAATAGTGTTATTAATGTTATAATAAGTAGTTTTGTTTGTTTGATATCCACCAGTCTTATTCTTATTTGTAGTCTTATTAGTCTTTGAATTCTTCCAATATACAGAATTATATTTGTTATTTGTATTTCTTTGTAATTTGTATATTTATACACAAATATTTTATTTACCAATCATTAGTCACATTATTAACTTGTTATTACTGTATTGTTGTTATTGTTATGTTTAAGTCCCTACCTGTGCGAACGCCTATTAATTTGCGGACATAGCCCCTACCGGCGCAAACGCCTATGTATTTGCGGACACAGTCCCTACTGGCGCAAACGCCTATTCAGTTGTGGACCCAGTCTCTACCAGCGCGAATGCCTAATCACTTACGGACACATCCCTACCGGCGCAAACTCCTATTCAGTTGCGGACACAGCCCCTACCTGCGCGAACACCTATTCATTTGCGGATTGTTTATACTAATTGCATTTGCAGACTGTATTTAGGGCCATTTTTTCCGGGGCCATTTTTTCCTGGGCCATTTTTACCGGAGCCATTCTTACCGTACACCGTATTTTCCACAAACTGCCCAATGACCACTAACCACAAGCTTGCCCAATTGGATTATTACCCTGATGAGGGTAAATAGCTCATCTCATTTTAAAGGGTTAATAGAGGGTGCATTAATACCCCAATCAAGTTTGTTTGGTAACAGGCAGTTTTTTCTTAAGTGTGTTTCATTACTGCTGCAAACTCCTCTGGAGCAGGACAGTAATCACATCTCTAAAGTTTTATCATTCTGAAAGGGTGTAGTTTTGAGTATTGTTTAGATTTGATAAGTTCATTATATAAAATATGTTAGTGTTTACCATATATTAGTTTATACTTGGTAATATTTATAAGAGGTTTAAGTGAAAGACTTTGCTGACTACCTGGCAGATCAGATTACAAAACTATTTTTGTGTATATAATGCTGAACTTTAGTTAACTGTTTCACAATAAGTTTGTGAATTATTTTCATATTAATTATCAGTTTAACTTTTGAGATGCATGTAGTGTATAATGCACTTTTTATGTAGTTTATAGATACTGTACAAAGATAATAGGCATGGTTGGGCCACCTACTGTAGGCTGACCATGAAGTAGATGATGACTGTACTAATTACGCGATAGTTATATTTCAACTCATGGTGGCGCTATACTATAAACAAACAAATCAAGATGTTATAGGGCTATATTGATAGTAAATTAAATGCATTTTAATAACAATTGAATTGGTTAGGCGAGTGAATACGATTGTTTTAATTAATAAAGCTGCTATTACTTATAGTCTTATTGTTCTTGATCAGA